TAGGCTAGCAGGTAATGGTCCAATGGCTAAGGGCTCTCACTATAGCATAAAAATCTGTCATACGTGAAATAATTTTGTTTGGAGTCATTCAACTTCTCACTAAAAAAAAGAGATATTGTGTCCACCCAAGCTCAACATAGCTCCAGTCACCCAGCTTCAAATACTTGATTAAAATATGGAAGAGCTATGATTGGGACATAGTAAGATGTTTCTTCAAAGCATCAAAACTGAATGGGCTTCATTTGACCATGATATTTATCTGTATTAAGGAGCTCTATCAAAGGTGTTACACTTTAGCTAAAATTTTTTATAAACCTCTTATAGAATGAAGTCAGTCCATAAAAGTAGTGCGTATGGGTGAAAGTCTTCGGACTTGGACAGTTTATTATAGTTTATATCTTAGCAAAATTCATCTCATTACTCGTTGTTGAAACACTGTATCCAAGAAATTGCGATGTCAGAAAGTAATATTTCATTAGATGACCATACAACAGGTTTCTCCGAAGAACTCCAAAAATCTATCACAAGTGTTGCAATGCTCCTCCATGAAATGGCTACACACCAAATTATTATCAATATAAACAACCACAATTTCATAATAACAGTTTAGAAAACCTGGTTCATCGGCTGCATGATTGTATTCAGGGCCTTGGATAGACAAAAAGGCATGATTGTCCATTTAGACAATCCAATTCATTGGCTTGAACCAATCTTCCACACATGTTTCATCTAAATCTGATAGTAAAGAGTATAAATTGATCTTGGAAAATGATGCTAATTTGATGTAGTTGATCCTACAAGTTATTTAGTTTTGAGATGGGAAAGATGTACTTTATGGTCATCATGTTCGCAGTTTTGCTATCAATACACATGTTAGGATCCGTCTTTCTTAGGTACAATCAGAGCTGGTACAATACATGAATTAATACTCTCACAAACAAATCCTCTTAACATTAGATCCTCAGTACAATTTTGAAATTCCTCATATTCCATTAGTTGCATTCTATAAGTTGGTCGGTTGGGGAGCAACGATCCTGGAATAAAGCCTATGAAATGTTGAATTTATCATCATAGAACCATCAACTTTTCTATATTTGGCTCAGTCGAGGGAACTCATCAAATCACAAGCATCTCACCATTATCTACACGAAGCTCGTACTCCTTTAAATTTTTCTAATTCGTAGAGTCTCTACTATCTATTTTTAATTGTGTCTTGCTCAGTAAAAAAAAAATCACTCTTCAATTTGGATAGTTAGATGTAATGTGTTCATATTCTCTATAGTTGAAACTTTTCTTGATTAGAAAGACTGGGGGTACTAGCCCGATCGGTCATGGCTCTTTCTGATGTCGACATCTCCTCACGTGTGGTAGGTTTTAGCTCTCCGGTTGGAGTTGCTTTGTAGGCCAATCCCGAGGCTGCACCTTGCCTGAAGGATGGGGTCTTTGAATGTTGTTATGCAGTTTTTTCGTTTCTCAGGCTAAGGTCTAGATATCTAGCAAGGTCTAGTCGGGTTGTAACTGCATCAAATTGCAAATGGATGGCCTCAAACCTATAAGATATCATCTTATGTTGTTCTCTAGCTTTGTTGGCTCAAATTTCAGTATAAGTAATTCAAACTCAGCGGTGTGTGCTCCTCTACTCGTAAGTCATTCTATAGTAAACGGTGAAGTCTTGAAAATTATCATGTTTGTGGTGTGATAGGAGATAATTGCACTACATGTCCTTCATCTTAGATCGGATCATGATTTTGCTCTTTTCTTTATTATTGGCATTTGGGTTTCAAATTCTCCCATCATAGGGAATCTCCTATCTTTAAATTAATGGCAACTAATTTCACCATTTATTTAAGTGGAATGATTTTGTACTAAAAGACTCATTCTATTATCTAGAGCTACTAAATGATTTTGTCCTGATTCAGACGACCATTAAAATATGGTAAAGCAATCTTCACTTCAACGTCTCTCTTCCTACTTCTATTCTCAATGCTAAATCGGCGAAGCATTGGTTCTTCGTCAGTCGAGGTCACTTGGTGGAAGTGGTTCTCTTCATCTTATTCATATGACTGGTTATCGTTATGACTTTGGGTGACCTCGTCGTGCTGTCTTCGTTCAAAATTAGCAGGACTATATTGTAATTGGAGGATTTCTTGATGCATATTTTTTATGACAAGACATTGAACATTTCTTTGAGGGTTTCTTTTTGGCGGCATTGTGATTTGCTCCCCACTTATAGAGTTTTGGCCAAGGTATGTTTGTGGATCTTGGGTTGGTTGAAAGTTTGAGAATCAGGTGTAGGGACATTTTTCGTGGATGTAGAAATAATTAGTTTTTGTGAATATAGGGTTTGTAGTATGAAGTGAATCTACGAAGAGATCTAGTATTATGGTTGGAATTTGGCTTTAATATAAAATGACGCCAATTTTGAGCTCCTAGATGGTGTATGAGGATCAAGGAAAAATTATGGAATAATGTAAGATATTAGTAGTTAGTCATGTTTGAAATTTAAAAGGTATTTGGGAAAGATAGTATGGCGGCAATGGCTGTTTGGGGAGGAAAAAACAGAAGAAAAAATAATCTCCACTGCTAGATGTGACATCTAAGACAATGAGGAAGGGACCACCATCTATTTTCGATCAATAGACAATCTCACTACTTGAACGAGAAGATGATACAACTCTCCAAATAGGAAGAAAGAAGGCGATAATATCAAACTGCATACAATTCAAAAGCTAAAAGCTGTCTATAGGTTCTAGCATAACATATCTATAATGCCAAAGTGAATTAACCCTTATACTAATGCTAATTAAGGGAAGGAGGGGCTCAAAGGGGGCCAACCAGCCTTGGTGGCTGGAATTGTTCCTGAATCGGGTGAGCCCGTCCCGTTCATTTCCGCATCCATCTAAGTTGGATGCGGAAATGACGCCCACATCAATGGAGATTATTCATTTAAACCTAACCTAAAAATTAAGTGTTTTAAAAAGCAGAGGTGTTTTGTCATCCTTACATAAAATGAAACCTAAGCTTCAAAGTGCAAAACATAAACTTCATCATTTTTTAATTTTATCTGTTTAGAAATATTAAAATAGATTATATCGACACACACACACACACACACACACACACACATACACACACACACACACACATACAAACAAACAAACAAATTAGTATCATTAATGCAACATCAAAACATGGCACTAACTTAGCTATGTAATATTTATTTATCTTCAAATAATATTACTATGATAAGTATTATGGATCAAATTTAAAATCAACCATAGTTATAAATAAAGAACACACGTGCAGGATGGCAAGCTAAATTAAAATCATCAAATTACGGATGTGATTCATTGATAAAATAGTGGATACTAATAAAACAAGTGTTGTGCTTGGATAAAGGAAGAAGATAATAGTGTAAACAATCCAAAATTTGGAGTAAGAAGCAAATATGTGACAATGTTACGGTCGATGGGAAAGGTGGCATAAGGGTATCTTAGGATAGATGATAAGTGGTAAGTTACTTTTTTTATTTTTTTACAAATTTCTTTTCTTTTTATTTTTTTTAATAGCATTAAAAGTTGAAAATTTAGGAAAAATTGAAGTGTACACCTTCAATGCTACATGGAGCTCATGAATGCTTTGAAAGTGTTTTGGGTCCATTTCACTTTGAAAGGCTCATTTGTGCACTTTGAAATGCACATTTTAAACAATGTTGAGAATATAGCACCTTTTTTGAAAGCTCTAGTTTACAATTATGAGTTTTTTTTTTTTTTTGCAGAATAAAAACTTGTCTCGGTTTGGTGGTCATAGTATTCTCATCATTTACTCATTTAGTTATCCATATAAATAATTTCATTTTTTTTCAGTAGATTCTTGATGTAACATGATGCAACATTATGCCTTATTTCCAAGTCTATTTAATTTGTATTTTTCCTTTCTCGTTTTGGATAGAACTTGCCTCATTAGTTATGCTCACTATGTTTTTAGAAATGTATGTGCATGCGCACACATAAAGGGGCAGACATGCATGCACACATGGCATATCCCATTACTTTGTTGTTCAATAATAATCTTTTCCTCTATTCTCTGTAAGAAGCCATCCTTAATGATTCATAATGTCCATAGAGCCTAACTTCATTTAAGTTTGAAATGAGATGCTAGATATTAATGTTTTCCAAAATCTACGTACTTACCACTCATTTCCTACGTTGTTACATGTCTAACGCCTAGACTTCAATTTTTACATGCATACCACCTTACCTATGCATAGCACAGTAGTTACATGTCTAACGCCTAGAATTCAATTTTTACATGCATACCACCTTACCTATGCATAGCACGGTGTATTTCACCTTTTTAAAAGTTAAAGGTGTTGTAAATGTAAAATAAAAATTTAGGTGTTACAAATGTACATACATAAGAATTGGGTTTATATGTATGTAAAAAAATGTGCCCCTGATGTATTACAATGAATAACATCCAATAAGATTTTGTATCTTTCCTTTTGTAATTACTCCCCAATGTGGATATAATACATCATTAGCCATATCCCAATTATTTGGGATAGACGAGATAAGATGCTATAGATTCATCAAATGTGTCAAGAGTCTATTCCTATGTAGATATTTCTTTTACTTCTAGTATTGCACCATTTTTAAGTATGTCATTAGCATATAAGCTTAGGGCTTGTTTGGGATCAATTTTATTTTTGTTTTTTCCTTGGTTATTAAAAATATTTTTATTTAATGTGTTTTTTATATAATTTTATTTTTGTTTCTAAAAATAAATATATTTTTGAAAACTCAAAATAACTTTAGTTTTTTTGAGTGCTTTAAAAAAAACCATATCTTATTCAAACTCACCAACATATTTTGTTTCAAATTAAAACATAAAAAAAATAAAAATAAAAACAAAAAATAAAAGTGATCGCAAATGACCCCTTAATTTTTGGCTTGGCAGCTTGAGTATTTTAACAACAACAATTACTTCTATTTTTGCAGCACATATTCCTTTATATTTATACCCTTTTTTGAATATTACAAACAAGGACAAGCCTTACGAATTTCTTAGATTGACTAGCTTGGGTGTGATTGGAGCTCTTGTAAAGGTAATTTATTTATTCATTATGTTTTTTTTTTTTTGGTAAAGTAATTTATTTATTTTTATTTATTTTTAAACTAGTGCTTTATCAACATCATCATCATCATCATCATCATCGTTAGCATCAGCCTTTTATCACGAATCCTCATGTTTTTTTTGGTTCTTTTTTTAACTAGTGCTGTTTTTTTTCTTTTTATTAAAAAGTTGGGGAAAAATGTATAAGTATTCACAACAACAATAGAAAACATAAAAGAAAGAAATGATGGATAAGGGAAAGTCCAAAGGTGTCTACACTGATAGAAGATAACCAAATCCATCAATTTTTTTTACTTTATTTTGTCATCTATAGCTTTTTGAGGTGAGCATATATAAAAGTAGGCCAATGTACTGATGTAAAACAAAATGTCTTTAAAATCAATCTTTCCCCTAACAAATAGACTGAGTAGCCGCAATGAAGAAAGTACCCCACAGGTCCTTGAAGCCAAAAATCTGTAAGACACCTCAAATATTGTTGATGGCCTATCAATAGAAAAGGACATGAAATTCATTCTGAAGATATGCCTTGGACATACTACAAATCATAGAAGAGATAATGCCCAATGTATGGAGATGTTCCTTATTAGGAATCCTCATAACATAAATGAACCAACGCATATAGCCATTGAGTGGATTGCTGTTTTTCAAATCCAGTTATAGTAGCCAAACTCCTGCCATTCAGAAAAAATTGATAGAAAAACTTGACAGAAGATTTATTCTTATTGGATTTTTAGGAGAGAAATTTAAATTTTCTCTTTTTTAATATTTTTCAATTTTTACAATTTTCATTTTTTATTATTTTGTATTATTGGTAGTTTTTGTTTCCTTTTCTTCTTGCATGAGAATTTTGTGGCTTTCTTAATTTGGCGACCTTACTCTGCTATTTATGTTGTAAACGCCCTTCTAGAATTGAAAATAAACAATTAATTTTCAGAACCTCTCGCTACCTAGCCCGACAAACTCGTGCTAGAGCCTTGATCTACTTAATCTTAGGCTTCTGTGGAGCAAGCATGAGCAGCAGGCTTCTCAAGAGTCGTAGAAGCCTTCCCTTTCATCGGCATCGGTGTGAAGGAGATCGCCATGCTTGGAGTGCTCCAACTGCGCTTTGGTCTCCTTCTAGACCATTATTTTCTTGTTAGGGAAGAATGGGCGGTTTTTCACAAAGCTGAGGTTCTAGTGTAGGGGATTTGCAGAGCCAAACAGAATCTTCCACCCTTTCAGTATCATGGCCTCGCACGTGAACTTTTCATGGTAGTCCTTGCTTGCTCTTTTTTGCTATCCTTGTTTCATAATGTTGTACAAGTCGATGATGGCCAACACCCAAAGAAACTCTACCATTTCTGCCAATTATAGTAATTTTGAAACTACTCTGCGCTACCCTATACTCCTCTCATATATGTTTCTGTTGATTGTTATTCCAAACCCTCATCTCATGCTTATATAACTCAATGGGCACAACTATCTCGATTGGGCCTAATCCGTAAAATTGGAAATCGGCTGGAGAAGCAAAATTACACAAGTAATTGGTGAAATTTTGAAACTTGTTGCTGGTGTCCCTAATATGAAAAAATTTGGCAATCAGAAAATTTTTTTATTGCTTGGTTCATCAACTCCATTGAACTTGCCATAGTGAAACCTCGCCTATTTCTTTCCACTGCTCAAGATGTCTAGGAGGCTGTTCGAGATCTTTATTCGGACATGGAGAATTTTTCTCAAATCTTTTAGTTGAAAACTCAATTTTGGATATGCAAGCAGAATGATTGTAATGTTACTATGTATTACAATAAGTTAATGACATTATAGCAGGAACTTCATCAATATTATGATGACGCTTTAATTTGCATCCAAAAATTTTGTATGCAAACTTAGAAAGTCACTCTATGGTTTAAAGAAGCCACCAAGAGCATGGTTTGAAAGGTTTGCTAAAATTATGAGATTCAATGGATACTCTCAAGGTCAAACCGATCATACACTGTTCATCAAACACACTTAGGGAGATAAGATTGTTACATTGATAGTATATATAGATGATATGATTCTTACTAGTGATGATAAAAAAGATTCATAAAATCAAAGAAGTGTTTGAAACCAATGACCTAGAAACTATGAGATATTTCTTAGGTATGGAGATAACAAGGTCCAAGAAGGGCATTATTATATCACAAAGGAAATACATCCTAAATTTTGCTAAAGGAGACATGGAAGATTGGATGCAAAATTGTCAATATTTCGATGGATCCCAACAAGAAGTCTATAAGAGGAGAATAAAGTATATCTGTGGATAAGGGAGGATAACAAATATTGGGAGGAAAATTTATCTACCTGTCACAAATTAGGCTAAATATGGCATACTCTGTCAGCATTGTGAGCCAATATATGATTAACATAAATGAAGAGTATTTGGAGATGGTGTACAAGATCTTAAGGTTTTTCAAGGAGACTCCTGTTATGGATTATTGTTTAAGACAACAAGAAACAGAGAGGTAGAAGTCTACACTGACAAGTTGGGTTGGGGTACTCACTGACAGAAGGTCAATCACATGTTACTACTGCCATGTATAGGGAAATCTGATCATATAGAGAAGTAAGAAGAAAATTGTTGTCTATAGAAGCAATGCAAAATCAGAGTATGGGGCACTTGTCTTAGGAATATGTGGAGGGATCTAGATTCATAAATTTTTTAGGGAATTTATGTGTACCTCTGACAGAACTAGACAGATGTTTTGTGACGCTCGAACAACTATTAGTATTGCCCCTATGCATCATGACAGAGTCAAACATATTAAAATTGATAGCACTTTAACTCTGAAAAAGTTGATTGTGGAATTATACAACAGCTACATCCCGACACATAAGTTGCTTATGTTTTCACCGAAACTCTTTTATCAAGCAACTTTGGGTTTAATGTCAAGCTTAGTCTCTACAGTATCTACGACCCAACTTAAGTGAGTGTTGAAATATAGGAGGATCGACGTCCCTATTAATTGGAGACAATTGAGAATCTCCTTGATTAATTTTATTCTCTTTAATTTATGTTTATTTTAGAATTATTTTTCATTTCCATATTTAGGCTAGATATATTTGATAAGATCGTAAATTAGTAGAGAACGATTTACCTATATATGTAACTTTAGGGTTGAAGATTGTATAATAAGAATTTTTTCAGTCCCTGATTTTGTCTTCCTCCTTTGTGTAGAAGGGTAATTCTTTAGCCATATTGTTAAGTGTTATTCCTAATTCTGTTAATTCTTGGATAAATGATTATGGTGTAAATGATCATATGACAGGTTGCTCTAAATTGCTCTCATCTTATAGACCTTATGTAGGCAATAAGAAGGTCAAAATTGTTAATGATTCTCTTTCGATAATTGTTGGGATAGGAACTGTCCAACTCGTTTTGTTGTTAACTACTAATGATGTACTCCATGTTCCCAAATTTTTCTTGTAACTTGTTGTCCATTAGTAAAATTATCTCTGACCGTCAATATCAAGCAATTTCTACTCCTCTTGTTATAAGTTTCAGGAATTGACTACTGGAGGATGATTGATAGTATTAAGGAAAATAATGAATTTTATTATTTTGATGATGAACTTGACAATAATAGATAATGTCAAAGTACTTATTTAAATTTTTTTTTCAATGATATTATGTTATGACATTATATGTCAAGTTATCCTAATTTTCAGTATTTAAAATATTTATTTTAGAATAAAAATTCTTTTTCTTTTTACTGTGAAGTTTGTCATTTTGCTAATATCAGTATGTATTTTTCTCCCAACTTACAAATGAACTACACCATTTACTCTTGTTTCATAATGGCATTTGGGGTCCTTATAAAACATATGCATATTCTACAAAAAACATTTGTGATATTTATTTATGATCACACAAGATTAAGTTGGGCTTATTTAATCAAAGAAAAATTTGAAGTGAAAATAATTTTCAAAAATTTTTACTCCATAATACAAACACAAATTCAAAAAAATATTCAAATATTGCTGAGAATATTTTAAAAATATTTTGGGTCAATTTTTTCTCGAAATAGTAGTTTATCAAAATTTTTTGGTCGACACTAAAATAAAATAGTGTGATTGAAAGAAAAAAAAATTATTGAAAGTTGCTCGGGCATTGCTTTTTACCAATCAAGTGTCAAAATATCTTTGGGGTGAAGTTGTTCTTACTGCTACATTCCTCATAAATAGAATACCCAATAAGATTTTAAACTTGGAAATACCTTTTGACATTTTTCTTAAGATTTTCCTGACAAATTGACTCTCTTCTTGTTTATTATTAAAGATATTTGAGTGTATTGCATTTGTTAACATTCACAGTTATAATTAAGGAAAACTTGAACCCAAGTAAAAAAATGTGTTTGTTGGTTAGGTATATTAACGTTCCGATTTCGAGCTGAGCTGCGACTCAAAATAGGTTTGAAATAATTTCGATCCAAAATTTTGGCTCGTAGCACGACTCGTTTAATTCGATCCATTTTCTATCCAAGCCAAATTCAAGTCAAAGTTTAGGTGATTAACAATCTTCCAACTAAATTTATTAAATTCACAGTCGTACCATTAATAGGACTGTTAATGATCCGATTTCGAGCCGAGCTGGGGTCAGCTCGATAAAAAATTTTTGTTCATAGTTCGACTCATTTATTTTGATTTGATCTCGATCCGAGCCAAAATTTGAATTAATTTTCGAGTGAATAGCGATCTTCGAGCTAAATTCAGAGCCTTTTTGTTGGTTATGCTCTCATTCACACGAGTGTAAATATTTTGATACAATTTTTTTAAAAATATTTGTTATCATGGATGTCACTTTGTTTGAATTACACGTCTTTTTCACTTGTCATCTTCAAGGGGCGATAATACAAAGATTCAACCATCCTTTTTTTAGGATCTTTTCCAAGTTGAACATTCCCCAACCTTGGTTTTTCAACCTGAAAACAAGCTACATTATATCAGGAGAAA